CCATAAAATAACCAACAATAAGCAGTAATTATCATATCAGTAAAGCTGACACTAATATAAAAATAATAACTGCATTATAGATAGCAACAATTAAGAACACCGCTTATTGCAAATCAACAATTACACTACATAATTACTAAAAGTTCAAAAAACAATAAACAAAGTAAAAAAACTAATTCTGTGACATTAAAAAATATATTGTAAGAACAGAAATAAGATATATATATAAATACACTAATCTTTTACCAACATATACAATCTAACACTACATTACACACATATGTTGAAAGTAAAGATGATATCCCTGAATTAATATGGCTTCTTAAGTTCACAATACGATCGTGAATAATGTTTTTAATATTTCTAACTAACATAAACCTTTTACTATACCCATACATACAAAGAATTTGTAGAATGTATTTGTGCTGTAACATATTCAAAACTTAGAGAAGATCACTCAAGAAATAAGCAAGGTTTGTAGAAAAATTTAGTAACAATTAGACCAAGAGGTTAGATTATTAAGAAATCTGGTCTAAATGTCTTAGAATTAACAGTTGTGATACATAAATATCAAGTTAATGTTTCAAAAAATAAATAAATAACTTTGTCAAAAGTGGAAAGTTTTGCAGATTTTTGGAATAAAAATGGAATAAGAAATTTTTAGCTGCACAAATGGTTTAGTTTCTAATGTTGGAATTAGTTTTTTTCAAAGAACACAAACATTTGTGTGTTAGTACCTGAAACACCAGATATAATTATAAAAGTCAAAAGAGGAATTTCAATCTCTCCATAATGTAGTCTTTGGTTGGTTCATAGTACTCCTGCCGCAGAACAAGCAGTTCTGGTATCTTGCGTATGTCACTGAAGAGAGGAGAGTCTGATTCCATTACAACAACGAGCAAACACCAAAAAATCAAGAGTATAAAAAGTGAGGCCAGAATGGCTACCCTCACCACATTCACTGGTTGAAACATAAAGGACTGACAACTTGAAATATTTTTCTGCTTTGGAATTTTAAGATCCCATTCAAAGTTCATTTCTGTCTTCTGTGGTTCAGTTGATGTAGAAACTTCAATAGGGAACTCAACATGAGGATCTTGTTCAGGATTCTCAGGTAACTGTGGCGTTGAGGCTTGTAATGAAGGTACAGATACTTCTTGGTCAACTGAATAAGTATTCTCAGCAAGGCCCTCAGGCTCTTGTGTTATTTCACTTTTTGTATTCTCCACCTGTTGCTCTTGCACCGTCTCAAACAAAGCAGTAGGTGCTTCTTCGTGTTCTGGAAGAGTTAAGTCACTCAAACTTCCAGCCATTTGTGTTGAGTGGTTGGTATGTTTAGGGCTAGTAGAATCTGTAGACGTAATGGAGTCCAAATTTTCTGTTACTGGAGCAGAGTGGTTCATGTAGTGAAGATCGGGAAAATCTGTAACAAAATGTCACGGATTTAGAAAAACAAGGAAAGTGCAGTTTATGTTAATAAAGCTTTTCTGCTATTTGAGAGCTACAATGAAATATTAAGGTATCTCTTCCCTTCTTAAATCTTTATTTTTCAGTAGAAATTTGAGTCGACTGTTAGTAAAAGAATTACATCATCAACTTAATATGTAAATAATTATATGTTGAAACTTGTGGTGATTTTAAATCTTTGACCAATCAACGACCAAGTCTTTGTCTTAATAAATAACTTAACTCCTTCACTTCAAGATTTCAGGTGCATGCTCATAAAAATCATGAGAATTTTGGAAGTTAACTGTTAATTTTCTTTTCGAGTGTGAGAGAGCAACTGTCTCTCACATAAAATGATCCTACATCCAATATTCAAACTAAATTTACAGCTATAAAAAATCCAGACACAGGATATACACACGCGTAGATGTCACGTGTTATGTGTTTATCTTGACAAAAAACTTCCCATGAAGGAAAATATTAACTTTCGGAAAGCATGATTCTTTAAATTCCCCTTTGGTAATGACTTTTACAGGTACGTACCTTTACCTCCATTTTTGTGGGTAATAACTTGAAAAAGTTAATTAATATGGAGTCTTGCTAAGAAAGTTTGATGTGATCAGACAGTTCTAGGTGAGATAACCATGATGGTCATGCTCTCTAATTGAAGTTATTAAAGAAACGTTAATCTCTAATCACAAATATTCTGACTTGGTTTTACAGAGTTCATCCATTACTACTGAAGCTACTGATTCTTGGTCAATAGAAGAATTTGAATGGGATAACAAGTTTCCCACATGTGAAAAGTTGTACTGTTTAAAATAAATTGGCTGGAAACACATTAAAGAAGAGAGAGAGAGTATACAAACAGGAAATTACTATAATTGTTTTTAAATTTACTTGCTAAACTGCTTACATTACACAAAATCCTGGAATCACAACAATTGCTTTTCTGTGTGATTTAGCTTTTTATAATATGGGGAATACAATAATATAATTATAAAACTTTAATATGTGACTAAATTACTTCATTAAAGAACAGCTTCAATCCTGTTAAAGTTTGTATAGATAATTTTTTAGGTACACTTGTAATTTTTTTTATTTCAAGTAAGTAAAGATATCAAAATCTGGACAAATAATTAAATGTATTTTGATCAAGTTTTTTCACACAAGCTTTTAATTATTGTATAAAATTCTAAAACAAATTCATATTTAACATTAATCGAAATAACTGTCACTTGTTCCTTCAAGGAAGACTAGTTAAAACCACACATGGTTTGTACAGGCTAATGGAAAAAAATACAAGATTTTCCAGGACCAAACTCGTCATTTTGAAGGACCTAGTTCAGTGCTTCCCAAATGGGATTCCTCAACAGACATCCAGGGGTTCTGTGAGATAAGGGTTCTGTGGAATGCAAGAGTTCCACATATTCTAATACATAAGTACATACTAGTCGCACAATTACAATCTGACTACATCACATTTCTTTAGAAACATAGTAAGTTTAATAATGATATAACATAACAAATCACTGTACTGTTTGAAATTAGTGAGCGAGACTAGGTAGAAACAGATGCTTGAGTTATGTAAACTTTTATTATTCAACAGAGTGATTATGTTTCTCGTTACGTGTGCCCAAGTAATTGGCTCGAGATATTTTTCATGCTTTGGATGTATATGTGTGGGTGGGTATATAGCTGCATTAAACCTGTGTACCCTGTCTGGAATTACTTATATAGTATTAAAGTAATGCTTTTTGTAATGAATACTGTGAAAGGCTCTGTGATATAAACTTGATGACAGAAAAGTTCTGTGGGTTCAAAACAGTTGAGAACTACTTACCTAGTTTATTGATTTTACCATAATGTGAACTCCACTAAAATTAAATAAATAAGGTTTTATTATATTTTATTTAACAAATGCAGTAAAATGTGAGCTTTGGAAAAATGCTCATTGAAGTGACAAAAAAAAAACTTTTAAAAGAAAATCTAAATCATGCATTATTGAAAAAAGCAGTCATAACTTCTTCTTCATTTAAAGTTCCATATTAAAATGTACTCTGACTCATTATTTCAACATACCAATAGGATAACAGTTAACTTGTTCCTGATTAACACACATGATAGCTACAACTTAGTCAATAATGTAAAGATTCACACTTGTTTTGTTACTGAGACCACTACCTCATTGTTGTGTACACTAACAATGTTGTATAACTTTTCCCAGGTAATTACATTATTGTTACTGAGACCACTACTGCATTGTTGTGTACACTAACAATGTTGTATAACTTTTCCCAGGTAATTACATTATTGTTACCAAGACCACTACCATATTGTTGTGTACACTAATAATGTTGTATAACTTTTCCCACATAACTACATTATTGTTACTGAGACCACTACCATACTGTTGTGTACACTAAAAATGTTGTATAACTTTTCCCATGTAATTACATTATTGTTACTGAGACCACTACCATATTGTTGTGTATACTAACAATGTTGTATAACTTTTCCCACATAACTACATTATTGTTACTGAGACCACTACCATATTGTTGTGTATACTAACAATGTTGTATAACTTTTCCCACATAACTACATTATTGTTACTGAGACCACTACCATATTGTTGTATACACTAACAATGTTGTATAACTTTTCCCACATAACTACATTATTGTTACTGAGACCACTACCATATTGTTTTGTACACTAACAATGTTGTATAACTTTTCCCAGGTAATTACATTATTGTTACCGAGACCACTACCATATTGTTGTGTACACTAACAATGTTGTATAACTTTTCCCAGGTAATTATATTATTGTTACCGAGACCACTACCATACTGTTGTGTACACTAACAATATGGAGGATGATTATAACTTTCATTGCAATTACTGTATTGTCCCGATTATAGGGTGATCTTGAATATAAGGCAACCTCTATTTTCACTATGGGAAAGAAAAAATAGCGTGTCATAACATCCTTTTATAGCTCCACAAAAATCAATACTATAACTGGATTAGTTGCAAGAATTAGCAATGACCTTGAGTGAACATCTGAAGTGCATGCATAGATGGATGCTATCTGGACATTCAGGAATGCGATGGGCTAATATAGGGGAAAGGGTCTTGTGGTTAGCTAAGAGTATAAGGTGATTATGAATTTTACAGCCTAATTATGAATAAAAAAAAACATTGCCTCCTAATCGGGCCAACATATAAACCAATGAGTACAAAGCTTTAGTGAAGTCAACCATTTATAGATTACACTCAATAATGTCTGAACCTTGATTTAACACATAAGAAGACATTATTGGAACCAAAGCATCAATAATTCTAACAAAATCTTCACAGATATGTTGTTGTTTGTTATTAAGCACAAAGCTACACAAAGGGCTATCTGTGCTCTGCCCACCACGGGTATCGAAACCACTGAGGGACTTTCACAGATTACCAGCATAGGTACATGACGTTATACAAACTAATACTGTCATTGCTTACGTTTATCGTCATCGAACAATACGTACATATATAAAAAATAAACTCACCTGTTTCGTAATCCCTAGATGGTGTAGCTGGTGTTGTTGGATAAGATTCACTTTTATGATGAAAAGACGAAGTATGCATGAAACTTCGCTGAAATTGAGGAGGATCTCGTTGAAAGTTTTTCATCAGTTCAACCACTTCCTTTTCTACTCGCCCACTGAGATAAGACATGCAAGTTACTCAGAGACATAGCTTTTCACTCGCCCACTGAGATAAGACATGCAAGTTACTCAGAGACATAGCTTTTCACAAGCATTTCTGTCAACTTATGTTCTAAATCAAATCAAGTGACATTAACTGAATAAATACTTCAAATAAACTATTTTCATTTCCTTAATTATTTTTCTTAAATTTACATTCACAACGTTCTAGGAGTGAAACCACAACAACCAACAATAAATCCGTTATGAACAAATATCTAAATAAGTTTACTATAACTTGTTATAATGGTCACTTTAGTTAATAGGAAATTACAACACTACTGGCTGTTTCACTTAACCCCTTCACTTTGGTATGTCATGCTGGGTATAAAATGGGCTTTAACTATGGACACATACATTTGTATTTCTCTGTGCTGTTCTTCAACACTATAATAATAAGATATTTCACTGGCGTTTACACTGGTACTGATGTTTATATATATTTGTCTTGGATTGAGTATGTTTGCTTTTATTAGGTTACAGAGACGAGTTTACAGGCACAATACCAGTATATAGAAAAGTACGACTTTTGGCGAGCCACTTTCACCAAGATATCGTGTGACATAATCGACTTGTCACATTTTTTTCCCACTTATTTATGTTAATCTGTCAAATCTAAAAGTACATTAATGCAGTCACATGCGAGTAGGGACCATCTGTGAGGTGTGTGCAGCATACCATCTCTGCGAGCAGGGACCATATGTGAGGTGTGTGCAGCATACCATCCCTATACGTACTTTGAAAGGGCTGTACATCAGCTTTACAAATTATAACAATTTTCAAATTTAGTGGAATAATGAGAATTGCTACGTCCAGTTTCAGAGTAATGGCCAAGCACGGGGCTGGAGGTAGGCACACAAACAATTCTACCATGTTGGTATTGAATAAAAAGTGTTATAATGGAATTGTTATGGTGTGGTCTGCACTCTGCACACATAAATTCCCATGAACATGAGCCATTATGGAGTTTTCAGTCAGTGACCCATTTGTTTCACCAGGGTAATGCTTCCTGCCACAAATCATAAGCATTTCAGTAAGAAGACCAAATGAATTGAGATTTTACCTCTGCTACATACCTGTACCTGAACTTTGAGCCCCTAGAAAACAAACCTCCTCCAGTAGTAACTGCTGGAACTTCTGAAGATGATTCCACCCTGTTTTGTATGTATCAAACATCATATACAATATATTTTTAATATTTCACTCTTTATGCACTGAAAATGCAGCATCTTTACATCCCAAGACTGTAAATTTGCTTTCTATAAATAAATGTTCAGTATTATTTTTTGCTAAACAAATTAGTCTATACTATTGAGTATGTTATAATCAAGTCTTTGTTACATGAAATATTTGTATTAAAAGAAGACAGAATGTGTTGTAACAACATATTTTTATCATTAAACAGCAACTTTCAGCATTTTTCTTCTTTTATTAACAAACTGTTAGATTTGTTTTGTTTTTAAAGCCAATTACTCCATTATAAAACTGATCTAATGGTAGGAAAGAGTCCTACATCATAAACTGATCCAATGATAGGAGAGTTACATCATAAATTGATCTAATGGTAGGAGAAATTCCTATATCATAAACTGATCTAATGGCAGGTGGGAGTCTTATATCATAAACTGACCTAATGGTAGGAGAAATTCCTATATCATAAACTGATTTAATGGTAAGAAAGTTTCCTACATCATAAACTGATCTAATGGTAGGAGAGAGTCCTACATTATAAACTGATCTAATGGTAGGAGAAATTCCTATATCATAAACTGATTTAATGGTAGGCGGGAGTCTTATATCATAAACTGATCTAATGGTAAGAAAGTGTCCTACATCATAAACTGCTCTAATGGTAGGAGAGAGTCCTACATCATAAACTGATTTAATGGTAGGAGAAATTCCTATATCATAAACTGATCTAATGGTAAGAAAGTGTCCTACATCATAAACTGCTCTAATGGTAGGCGGGAGTCTTATATCATAAACTGATCTAATGGTAGGAGAAATTCCTATATCATAAACTGATTTAAAGGTAAGAAAGTGTCCTACATCATAAACTGATCTAATGGTAGAAGTTCCTACGTCAAAGTGTCTTGTGAAATAAAAAATCCTTGAATGAAAACTACCTACATCAGTTTGTACAATACATCGTTAAATACTAATGACAATATCTTTTCTACAAATGGACAAAATAAATATATTATTATTCACTTTAGCAAGGTGAAAGAAAGGTATTAATTACAAGTAAGTAATATTTTTGATACTAGCTTACATGGAAATGTACACTTTTCGTGGGCACACAAGTTAATACTTTTATTTTTTACAATTCAAAATAGAAATGTGTTATCAAGTTCACTATTTTAGAAACATCTGTTTACTTACGCAAAAAAGTAACGCTGTTCCAAGGCACACTTCCACAAATGTTTACATGCAGCTTGAGTAGGACATTTGAACCCAATAAGATGCTTCCTCTGTTCCAAATCAAATTTATTTTTAATTCAATCCATTAACATTTTTTATAAAACTATAAACATGTTACTTAAGGATGAAGAAACAAGTTTTATAAATATGATATAAAATAGTCACTTCATAGCTAATCTAAAAAAGGTTAAAGGAATTAAAACTCAGTTATAATCAAATATTATGGAATGAAACACAAACTTATAAATGGTTCGGAATTTAAACCTGAAACCTACTGGTCAAACATCCAAAATGAGGATCAAAGGTTACAAATATTGATCTAGAAGTCTACAGTAACTTAGCTTCTGATATTGATTTTCATTGAAAACAGTATGGCCATTATTACAAAGCCCTTTTTGTTGTGCAATTGTAGAACTGTTACCTACTGGAACTCTTTCTGATTGGTACTTCTAGAACTAACACTTTTAATAACTTTTCGACGATAGGAAGTCCACTTAACAATAAAATGGATACACTTATTAAATAAACTATCAATAACAAAGACAGCTTAACAGCTAACCCTAAATGTCTATCCTTGTGTCTATAGTGTGAAAAAATATACACTCTTTCAGTAATTACATGAATTTTACATTCTTTGCTTGCATTTCATATCCTTACACATAAACAGAATGGGAAATTAAAAACTTCCTGTGTAAAACAATTACATCACTGTAAGTTAAAAAAGTTTATGCTCATGTTGACTTTCTCACTAATGATATTTCATATAAAATTTAAAACTATATTCTGTGCATCACTGTATCTAACTAAATACAAAAGTTAAAAGCTAGATTAAGTTTTAATATATATATATATATAT